TAATATCGGAGCGCTTACATCGGACATTTTTTATGCAGGTCGATAAAATCCGATACTCATTTTTTGGCTGATATCGGACCGATATCCGATATCGATATCGGATTGGGACACCCCTAGATAATATTGAATAATACTGTTGTAAATTACAGTTCTTTGATTTTTGTCATGCTTTTCCATGGGGGTTCTTTTGCAAGCAGGGAGGCTTGTAGAACAACAGAAGCAGAGCACAAAGAAAGTTGGTTCAAATACTTTGTAGCTCTTCAAATAAAATTGTAYTTAATGAGGAAAATAGTACAACCATAAAATAAAGGGTTTAGAGTCCTACGAAATTATTTAGTTGAATAAAAAAATCTGGCAAACAAAGCTTGAAACAGCATACATAGCTAGTCCTCAAACTAAGAATGTGAACTGCTGTACAAGCAACCATTAACCATGTTTCCATCAACGCTATTTTATGCACATTTTGAGGTATCACATTAGAAAAGGTGAATGAAAACAGCATGATTCAAAAAATTTTCCTCTATTTCACAAAAAAAAGTCCATACGCTCGCTTGAGGTGGTTTTTGGATTTTTCGGAAAAGAGTTAATGTGCAAAAGGARAGATGGAAACCCATTTGCTGAACAAGTTCTGACACATTCACCTCACAGGATTGATCAGATGTTCCCACTGGCTGTCTGGTACCAGTAGGGATGGGTATTTGATACTTTTATAAGTACCGACCAAATTCTGTCTGTACTACCGAGAACCTATTCACGTAACATCAAACGGTACCATGTTTCAGTACCTAAATGCATCATTGCGACYGTATTGGCGTAAGAGTGGTGGATTTTCCATGCTTGTCCTGAACGCAGCATCRCGTAAGGGCGTAATGACGTCAGCAGCCGCTGGTTCTGTAGAGTTTGGCGTCGCTTGAAAGTGAGCCTCACAGCTCCTGGAGTGAAACTCACCGAACAGACCGCCTCTGAATTATCTGGTGGATTAATTATCTTGTGAACACGACAGAGTAAGGAACATGTTTTATGCTCTGGTAATGTGCTGTACATGAGTGCCCCATCCAAATGTCTGCAGTCCTTAGACACTGTGTACCACAGTGCTGAGGTTCATCACTGGTTCCAGTTACCTCATTAATCACTAGCTATGTTTATAAACTCAAAATTCTTTGATCAGATTGAAATGTATTTCGATTATATATTCTGAATGTATTGTTTGCATGGGCACATGGACGTCATTCAGTTTATCAATTAGTCCAGGGGTACTCAATTAAAATTTAACGAGGTCCAGTCAGAGAACATTTTATGAGACCAAGGTCCGGAAGATCAAAATGTTAGAC